ACTTCCAAGGTTGGTTTTGCAGAAGTCATCAGTTACCTCCTTCATTTTGTCTGGATTGTTAGTTACTGTGCCATTAATTAATTTCTTACCATATGATTAAAAAAATATTTATGTAGTTATTTATACCTTGCTGTGTATAATAGGAAAAAACATTTTCCTACTTTTTTAAAAAAATTAACCTCAGATGTGGAGGGTCCCACACTTACGAGGCAACTCTTTAGCAGATGCCAGTTGGGTTTCCTGTAATTCAGTTCTGACATTATCTGCCTGAAGTTAGATCTCACAGGTTAAGCTGTCAGGCCAGTAAGACTCTCTCTTATTTCCAATGACCTTTGCAAGTCCCAGGTTGTAAATTGGTATTCTCAGGACTCCCTCTTCCAGTGTGATAATTTGCCAGGAGGGCTCACACATTTCAGGGAAACACCTTACGTTTACCCATTCATTTTAAGTGATATTATGGAGGACACAAACAACCAGATAGAATAGGGAAAGGAATGTGGGAAGGGGAACCGAGCTTCCCATGCAACACCCTCCAAGCACTTCCATATACCTGCAATCTGGAAAGCTGTCTGAATCCTCTGTCCCTGTTTTTCTATCTGGTGGTACTGGGGAGGACAGCTCAGAGTCTCAAGCATACTCACCATTGAGCTACATATCCCCCCTGCCCCAATTCATGACCCTCCTGACTTGACCACCTAAGTAGCTGGGATTGTAAGTAGGTCCCACCAAAGCAGCCTTGTTTGGGATTTTTATGTAGGCTTCATATGTAAGCATGATTGAATAAATCATTGGCCTTTTTAAAAACATTTATTTATTCTGATTTGTTACACATGACAGCACAATGCATTTCAATTCATAGTACACATAGTATACACATATAGGGCACGATTTCTCATGTCTCTGGTAGTACACAAAGTAGAATCATTGGGCTTTGCTCCTCTCCCTTTTCTGGAGATCAGAATGATGGGCTGGGAACTTTTGAATGACAAGGTTGTTTCCCTTGGCAACCAGCCCCTGTCTTGAGGCTTTCCTGGAGCCACCAGTCATCTTACAAGCATACAAAAAGACACACTTTGAAGATTACAAGGATTTTAGGAGTTGTGTGCCAGAAAAAGGGACTAAGATCAAATATACATTTATTATAAATCACAGTATCACAGTTGCCAGAGTTTTTAATGTTTATGTTCTAATTTCTAATTATAATGCCCACAGTTTAGTGTTTTGTATTTAAATGGAGTCATAGACTTTAATCCTTTTTCTGTAGGATCACCTTTCTTAAATGACTTACTTTGATTAATCATCTGATTGGCTTGATTTCTCATTCATTTTCTTAAGATGTAAGGTTCATGGATGGGTATTACGTTTGAATTCTTGCATGGTTAACATGTCTGCTCTTTGTCTTTCTTTTTTATAATTACAGGGATAATTCATTTTCCCCGTAGAATATAATAAAGCATAATTCATCCTAACATTGCTGCATATCTCTGTTTTTCTGTGTCTTTCTTTTTAAATCCCTGTTTTCTCTTTGTTTTTCAGGTACTATCCTCTCCTGATTTTTCTCTTCCCTTGTTGGTTCTCTTCAGTTCTTTAGGCTATGCTACTCAGTAAGGCCTCCATGTGTGGCATTGGCCACACCTAGGAGCTTGTTAAAAATGTAGAATATCAGGTCCAGCTTTGGACCTACTAAATCAGAGGCTACATTTTAACATGATCTCTAGATGATTAGTGAGCATAATAAAGTATGAGAACTATTAGACTCTAGGGTCTACTAACTCTTCATTAAAGAATCTTTAACTGTTGGGATTTGCCTTATTTTAGTCAGGCTTCTCTTCTCTGTGACTCCAAATCTCCCACTTTTTACCTTTTGTATATCAATCTTTTTTTTTTTTTTTTTTGGTTTCAGGGACTGAACCCAGGGAACTTTACCATTGAGCTATATCCCCAATCCCTTTTCTTCTGTATTTGAACTTAGTTACCTCATAGACTTCTCATTCCTATTATTATTTTTGTTATTTTGGTGCTGGGGAATGTAAGGTTGCTTTACCACTGAGCTACATATATCTCCAGCTCTTTTTATCTTGAGACTGGGTCTTGATAAGTTGCTGAGGCTGATCTCGAATTTGTGAGCCTCCTGTCACAGGCTCCCCAGTAGCTAGGATTATAGGTGTATGCCAGTTGTATTTTATTAACCATATTTCAGTATCTAAAGTTAAGTGCTTGAGTTTTCAGAATTATCAGGAAAAATGAAACTTTTAGGAAAATGTACAATTAAAAAATTTTTCTCTTACTGCTTTGCTATGGTTTGGGAAACTAAAAATATATTTTATAACAATGTTTGATTTTTAACTTTTGGCATTTAAAACAGCTTGAAGCTGTTATTTTTAAGGAGATTTGCCTTGATTTTGTCAGTGCCTGAGAAGCAATTCAGTCTTAAAAATAGAAACAGTGTTTAACATTATAATTTAACAAACATTTTTGACATAATACCTATCATAATGTCAACTAAATGTAGAAAACACTTTTTTCCCCAAAAAGGAATTCTGAGAAAAGAAATTTTTTGGTGGGGGGGCGGGAGAGTGGCTACTGGGGATTGAACCCAGGGATGCTTAACTACTAAGCCCCTTTTAATATTTTATTTAGAGACAAGGATCTCCCTGAGTTGTTTAGGGCCTTGCTAAGTTGCTGAGGCTGGCTTTGAACTATCGATCCTCGTGGCTCAGCTTCCTGAGCCACTGGGATTACAGGCGTGCGCCAGTGGCCTAAATGTTTTAATTAAGTTTTATTTAACTCATATTCCTAATACAAAATACAGATTCCTAACGCAAAATCAGATTCCTAACTGATAACTATTATTTTTATTAATGTCCCCCCCCCTTCTTCTGTACTAGAAATTGAACCCAGGGCCTCTCAAATGCTGGGCATGTGCTCTAACACTGTAACTTAATTTTATAATAAACATAATGTAGTTTCTAAGAATAATTTTGGGGAAGTAAAGGTGGTATAGCAATATTTGCATCCTATCTCTTACTAAATTAATACATTTTTTTCCCCTCAGTTTGTTTTCAATCATGATCATTCTCTTCTTAGGGGTGGGAAATGCAAGGGATTGAAGCCAGAGCCTTGTATATACTACAAGCCTGTGCTGTACCGTTGAGCTAGCCCTAGACTAATCTTTATAAAGCAAGTTTTCCTTTTGTCTCTTTTAAAAGGAAATATAACTAAAAATTACCAGTATCATGTCACAGATAACTCATTTATCCCACCCAGACTTCCTGATTTCTTTTCCTGTCCCATTTTCTGTTTGTAACTTGCTTTACAATATATGGTGGTCCTTTTTCCATATTCAACTTCATTTCTCCATTTAAAACTCTTACAGATGTTTGTAAGAGTTTTCCACGTGAAATTAAGAATAAAGGATTATTTCCATTTAAACTATATACCAAATTGGGCTTGAGATGTAAAGTAGATTAGTACTCTTGCTAAATTTTGGATTTTCATTAATTTTGTATTCTATAGACTTAGTAAAATACAATTTTTGTGAAATTTTCAGCTCTTTTAAAAATCATTGTAAATAAATATTCTGCCTAATTAGGAATCAGGATTTGTTATGCTAAATAAATGAGTTAAAATGGTGGTTGAGCTCAGGCAAACATGTTTGATCTCAGGTAAATAAGTTATTCTATAATATGTACCATCCATTATATACATAAACTACTAATCTCAATTAAGCCAGACAAAAGTTATTTGAGGCTGGAAATATCCTAGTTTTACAACTGATGAAGTGATGGAGCCTGGATATGACTTTAATATACTTTTGTCTTTACTATCTTGAGGGATTTGTACATACCTTAATGGTTTTCAGACAGTGCTGCAAGACTCCCTAGTCTTTGGGGGTTTGGTAATCAGGCACCAACCTTCACTCATTTTAAGCATTTGGGTTCCCTGGTATGTTTGGAGGAGTTTCTCTGCATAAAATGTTTGAAGTCTCCTGTTCTAGAAACCCAGGATCTAGGTAGAATGAATACATGTTAGACTATAAAAAAGCACAGGCAATAGTAATTTGCCCCAGGGGCAGACAGTATCTATTTTCAATTATATTTTTGTTCTTACAGATGTTTTGTCTTAGCCTAATATTAAAATGAGTTTGAGGCGATTGAACACAGCATTTATAGGGTGGGAAAGTGGTTAGAGTTGAAGTTTGTTGCTGAAAGTTGGTAATGTACAATTCCCTGCATTGCGTTCACTCACTGCCAGGTCTTGGTAAGTTTAAAGGCTTCCCTCAGCATGATGTAATGACAGGTTAAACCTCTGAACACTCGAGCTGATGCAATTCATATCTGAGGCTTACAGGACTTTATGGGGCAAGGGTAATGCTTGTTTAAAAACAAAACAAGCTACTCTTAAGTTTAATGGGGCCATTTAAGATGGCTTTCCCAGAGTGGGAAGAAAATATAATCTCGATTTGGAGGTTCAAGTAACGAGTTTAATGTGTCTTTAGTGTTTACTACTCTCACTGCAAAAGTATTTTCACAGAAAGGCGGGGGAAGTATAAATTATGCTGCCAACGGGGAAGAAATGAAGTGAGTTAGAATTGAGGAAATATAGTAGTTTGGTAAAACTGTCGTTATTTGGTAAATACTGTAGGATGAACTAGGAAGAATGCGAAGAATGCTTTTACTATGTGAAAACGTGAGTTTTAAGGATTCATTGGATGGTGCATTTCACAGAGAGCAGTGTTTGTCCGGCCACATTCCTTATTCCCTGAGTAGTTCTTTAAAGAAATTGCTGATACTCAACCGTTTCGACCAACAAAAACCAGGCTCTCCCTAAACTTGAGTTGGTGGAAATGCTGAGGACGCGAGGTGGCTGGCCTAGTTGGAGCTGGGGAGCTGTGGGCCCGCCCTTGGATGTGGGCGGGGCCCTGGACATGGCCCCGCCCTCCTGCGCCGCCCCGCCCCCGCACAAGGAAGCCGCCGGCCGCCGCCCTGGGCGCGGCAAGCCCTGGGCCGGCCTGGGTTCCCGGAGTTGGAGCCGGCTTTCCCAGCTGTGGCCCGGTTACCAATGGCTCTCCCTGTGGCTGCAGCAGCTCCGGCGGCAGGAGTGCCCTTCCAGAGCTTGCTCCAAGTGCACTCCGGCTCCTTGAGCCAGCGCCGTGCACTCTGCAGCTCTGGCCCGTCACCCGCGTTTAGTGGGAGCGCAGTCAGTGGAGGAAGGGAAGACAAACTTGTGAAATGGACGAAAGCTTAGGTGGCTGCAGAGGACAGCTCGGCCATAGCTCAGAGTTTTGGAGACAGGCGAGTTTGAGCTCACAGGGAGGTGTGGTCGCCTCCTGAGGACCGAAGGCCTTCATTTTTCCACCTTTGTAGCCTGTGCTTCCGAATGAGTGTTTTAAGAAGTCCGACCTCACAGTCTTCTGTGCTTAAGAACTGGAGGTGGCAAGGAAGGACTTTTGTTACAGATTGTCCGTTTTTGCTTGGGGAAACGCAATGCGCTGCCTGACTTCTCATGACTGGAAAGCCTACCTTACCCTTTTTGTACTCCTGGAGGGGAGTCTTGCTCACATGTTTACCTGCGGCTAGGACAAGGAAGAGAAAAGGTATTGATGTGAAAAGACTGGGTTCCTGAAACTGAAACTTGAAAGCTGTAAATCAGTGAAATCTGGTTAAAGGAATGGCCGCAGCATAATTTACCTCTTTCCAAGTATGGCAGTGATGTTTCATTTAAGCTGCTATACTTTTCTCTTTAAATCACCTTCAGGTTCTGTCACGACCTGGGCTGTTCTTGGTTCCTGTTGCAGGGCTGCTGTATGATTGGGATTCCTTCTCTGGGTCAAGAAGGAGCTGGCTTCCACCTTTGAAGCTTTGGAAGGTTTTAGCAGTTGCTATCTTTTAATACCTCCATTCATGAGAAATAACTGTCTGCATTTCATTTGTTTTTCACATTTTTAATAGGAATTAAAGTATGCTTTCTACAATGTTTGTAAAATAATTTTATGATGCAAGCTTGAGCTATTGTGATGATAAATATTTTGCCAGGTTAAGGAATTGAACAAGTGTTTTTTTTGTTTGTTTGTTTTTTGCTCAGTAGCTGTATTATGTTAAATACAAACTGAGCTCACTGCCTTTTGTGTAAATAGTTGTTTGGTTTAGTAATTTGAAAGGTAATTGGGGGCTTAGACTGTGCCCAAAGAGCCACTTTTGCATTATTGTGTTGCTCACTTAAGTGAGCAGCATATAATGGACTACTCAATAGGCACAGAGCATACAAGAAGGTATTTTGGGTAGTGCTCAGCCCATTGTTTTACAAGTGACATAAAATGGATAGATCATCATACACCCAAAGAATTTATACAGAGGGACACTGGATTATAGGAGAGCTCCTTTATAGTCCTTTTGTCAGAACAGCTGGATTACTTCAGGTGATGCAAGTTGATTCATGTTTTTCTAGGCCTGTAGGATGAGCCACATTATGATGGAATTCAGTTATACTTTGTGTGTGTGTGTGTGTGTGTGTGTGTGTGTGTGTGTCTGTGTCTGGTGTTAGGGACCAAATCTAGGGCCTCACACATGCTAGATATTGTCGGTGTTGTCACCACACTTATTTCCTTTAGGATATTTCTTTTAGTCACAAATGAATTAATTTTTTCACACCTCTCTCCCCATTTATAGTGTCTGTTGGTAACCACTTGAATAATCAGTAACCCAAATTGTAATTACCTGGTCACATTTGTAACTACCATTGTGTCTTCAAAGTTCTTTGCCACAGATTAATCATTGTAATTGAGAGAAAACATTAAATATGAAACATAAATTTTTTGAAGAAACATACCTTAGTTTAGTAGTTTCTGGGAGTAGTACACTCTTAGGATACCAACAGATTGATTGATCTTGTATCACTCCTCAGACAAATAATGACCTGCCATATCCCAGCAGAGGTAGATTCTTGGAAAAGGTACCCTGTTTTGAGTATATTTGATTCATCCTGACTAGTTAGTTACATTATTGATCATCTCTTCCAGATGACATTTATCTGAAAAGTGATGTTTGTTATTCTCCTGATGACTGTTTCAGCTACACTGTAAACCCCAGGGTACAAGGAACTCATTACCTGTTGACTCCATCCCTCATTCCCCATGTTGTGTGTCTCTCTGTGGTGTTTTATCATCATCCTCCTTTTTTCTCCACCCGCTTTTTCTGATTCTTCTTTCCTCTTGTACATTGTATCTGACTTATATTGTGGAATGGAAATAGAATAGAATGAAGTACTTTTTCTAAGTACTAGACTAACAATTTTTATTTAAGGATGACTCTCCATTTCCCAAGTCTTCCCTAACATTTGAGGTGGGCAAAGATCAGTAGGAAGTAGTACTTAGCTGGTGTTAGCATTTTGTGAAAGATGTAATAGATGAAGGTGGATAATGAGATGGCAGCAGGCTCTTCCCCTAGTGATGCCTTGTACCCCACTCCCAAAATATACCTGTAGAGAAGATGCTGTTCACCACTAGGGAGAGTCAACCTGATGATCTTTGGCATATGAACCTTATAAGACTTACCTCCCAACAGCTGATTCAGAATTGGAAAGAGACGGCTTTAGGGACTCTGAGAGGACAAAGTCAAATCCAAACATTTGAATATATTTAAAGTCCTATATTATATACAGGTCTCTTAGTTGTTTATGGTTTAGTTTCTCTTTTAGCTTTTCTTATTATATATATACTCTATCCAAAGATAATTTTTAGTACTTTTACTTTAAAAGGAATTTAAAATATGCTCTGAAATATTTTGAAAAGGCTTTGTCAGTGTTTAACTCCGAATAACAGACGCACATTTAATAATTTATTTTGTTTTTATATATGCTTTAAAAAATATCTTTGGTTGTAGATGGACACAATTCAATACCTTCAATTAATTTTTATGTGGTGCTGAGGATCGAGCCCAGTTTCTCACACATGCTAGGCAAGTGCTCTAGTGCTGCGCCACAACCCTAGCCCCTATATATGCTTTTTAAATCCTAGTTTATTCCTTTATCTCTTTGCTCACAGTAAATTTTGCATGAAACTTCAAAGTTTTTCTGGCATGTAAACATTATTTATAAAACATAAGTTGTAATTATTCTTCCATTTATTTTTTTATTTTTTATTTCAGAGATGAGCCGTCAGACTGCTACAGCATTACCTACTGGTACCTCAAAGTGTCCGCCATCCCAGAGGGTGCCTGCCCTGACTGGCACGACAGCATCCAACAATGACTTGGCGAGTCTTTTTGAGTGTCCTGTCTGCTTTGACTATGTGTTACCACCCATTCTTCAATGTCAGAGTGGCCATCTTGTTTGTAGCAACTGTCGCCCGAAGCTCACATGTTGTCCAACTTGCCGGGGCCCGTTGGGATCCATTCGCAACTTGGCTATGGAGAAAGTGGCCAATTCAGTACTTTTCCCTTGTAAATATGCCTCTTCTGGATGTGAAATAACTCTGCCACATACAGAAAAAGCAGACCACGAAGAGCTCTGTGAGTTTAGGCCTTATTCCTGCCCATGCCCTGGTGCTTCCTGTAAATGGCAAGGCTCTTTGGATGCTGTAATGCCCCATCTGATGCATCAGCACAAGTCCATTACAACCCTACAGGGAGAGGATATAGTTTTCCTTGCTACAGACATTAATCTTCCTGGTGCTGTTGACTGGGTGATGATGCAGTCCTGTTTTGGCTTTCACTTCATGTTAGTCTTGGAGAAACAGGAAAAATACGATGGTCACCAGCAATTCTTCGCAATTGTACAGCTGATAGGAACACGCAAGCAAGCTGAAAATTTTGCTTATCGACTTGAGCTAAATGGTCATAGGCGGCGATTGACTTGGGAAGCGACTCCTCGATCTATTCATGAGGGAATTGCAACAGCCATTATGAATAGTGACTGCCTAGTCTTTGACACCAGCATTGCACAGCTTTTTGCAGAAAACGGCAATTTAGGCATCAATGTAACTATTTCCATGTGTTGAAACGGCAATCAAACATTTTCTGGCCAGTGTTTAAAACTGTTGCATTCAATTTCACAGGAGAATAAGGCACCCATCTGCCTACCAACCTGAAACTCTTTTGGTAGGTGGAAGCTAGACACATGAAGGTAAATAAAAAGAAAGGCTGTTAAATACAGGAAACAGTTGCATGTAGTAACACTAATATATTTAAAAATAAGTCAACAGTAAACCACTGAAAAAATATATATATATACACCCAAGATGGGCATCTTTTGTATTAAGAGAGCAAGCATTGTAAAATAATTCTGACTTTTGTGTTTGTTGTAGATTGATTGTATTGTTGAAAATATTGGGTTTTTTGTTTTGTTTTTGTTTTTTTTTGCGTGTGTGTGTGTGTGTGTGTGTGTGTGTGTGTGTGTTTAACTGACAAGCCATCTGAGTGGTCTTGGGCCACTGCTTCTCCCTTTGTGAGTCAATACATAGTGCTGCTGGTTGTTTTTTTTTTTTTTGGCTGTGTGTGCATTTGCTAATTTTTATTAATTCTAGTTTTTCATTAAATAAATTTGACTTTCTTTTCTGTAATTTCAGGTTTTTCCTCACTTTTTTTGTACCTTTTTAAAGTTAGTGTCTTTTTGATATGCGTAATTGTTTATGGTAAAGTTTGTGTTCAATACATATTTTTCCCCTCATTAATCAGTTTTTTAGAAATATTTTAAATTCAGCTATTTTGTGAAGATATGAGTCCCAGAAAGGAAAGGTTACATCAAAGAAAAATTATCAAAAACTATTTAAAGCAACTATAAGGTGGTCTCTTTCTCTTCTTTCATCCTCTTTTCCAGTTCAGTCATACCTTCCAGCTTACTCTGAAAAGTTAGGGAATATATTCTGATTTATATAAATACTGAAAAAAATCAGGCTTTTTTCCTTCTCAAATATCTTGGACAAATCACATGTTTAGAAATTTGTTCTTGTATTTATTGGTTTTGCAGAAGAAGGCATCATCATACACAGTATTTGTAATTAAGAGCAAATCATTTGTTTAAAAAAAGGCAGTTTGCAAAAAAAAATTTATGTTTTTGGTCTTTTATAATTCTCATTAAAAGATTATCTGGCAAATTAAAAAAATCTTAATGTGTCTGCTTCAGCTGTAAGTGTGGTGAAGTCCAGAGTCATTTTCCTGTTCCATTTTGTGCTTTAATTATACAGCAGAAAATACTGTGCTGTCACTCTGTAGTGTGGCAGAGTTTTATTCTAAGTGCAGCAGGAGCCAGGCATGTGGCCTCTGGACTGCCCCTGGCTCCCCTCATTCCCCCCCCCCTCCCATTTTGATTTTCCACAAGGAAATCCACAGAATTCAGGAGAAAGATTGACTAAAATTTTTAGCTGATCACTTTTGTCCCCTTAAAAACAAAAATTAGTTTTTGGTATTTCATAGCTCTGCTGGTTAAGTATCTTGGCTCTGCTCCACTTATAGCTGTATGACCTTGGGCCCTAGTTTCCTAATGTCTAAAAAGGGGTTACATCCTAGTAGCTACCTCACAGGGTTAAATAAGACACAGTAAAGTTACCCGATCAATGCTTTGTACATATTGTTGCTGGGATTATTATTTTTTAAAAAAACTCTTGGTACTTTATAATCATTGTTTCATTAAAACCTCAGGTTTTGCCTGGTGTGGTGGTGCAGGCCTGTAATCCCAGTGACTCAGGAGACTGAGGCAGAAGGATTGCAGTACTTGGCAAAACTCTGTCTCAAAGTATAAAATAAGAGGAGGACTGGGGATGGGGTTCAGTGTTTAGGCACTCATGGGTTCAATTCCTAGTATTAAAAAATAAGAAGCCCTCAGTTTTTACTAATTCAAGTAAATTTAGGTAAATTTTGTGTATGTTTGACAACTAGCTAGTAAAGCTGACATTTTTTATATTTTATGTTTCAGTCATCATTCTACTTTGGTCTGCAGTGATGAGCTCTAAAGCCACATTGCTTTGGTCTATTTGAAAATTTGGTTTATTAGGTCTAGCTCTTGTTCTTGAATTGTTATAATAATGAATGGTTTCTATTAATTTCCCTACCCCTCCTTTGGGTGTCGTCTTTCACATTTTATGGGGTAGATGTAGGTAATATTCTATTATTTTGCTTTTATATACTTTTTTTTTTCCTCATGATTTTGGGGATCAAACCCAGGGTAGGTAAGTGCTGTACCACTGAGCTACAATCCCTAGCCTGATCTATATTTTTCAACTAGAAATTGTCCTATTGGATAGACATGGACCGGTTTAGTGTGTTAGTGATCATTGGAAAGCCTTTTTTTCCTTTGCTTTGATTTTTATTATGTATTACTTATGTTTTTTTTTTAACACCCACATTTCTGCAAACTAAATTTTCATAAGTGGCTATAGATTGCTTAGCTCTCAAATAGTAGTATGTGTCCCCTCCACACAAGAGCTCTTTTTATATCCAGGAATCTCTACAATGATAGAATTATTTCATTCAGATTTCTGAGTGGAAGAATTGGTAAGTAATCCAAATTATAAAAACTGAATGAAACTACACTGTACCTGGGGTCAGTCTGTGACTGCTGACAAAAGTTAAGATCAGAATATAATGCAATGAGTAGAAGGTATGAATAACCACCTGGTACTGTGGTTATCTCTATGGGTTATACAAGGAAGGTAGACAGTGTTACAGATTGAACATTGTGGAGGTTCAGAGTACCAAGGATTACCTGGTGATTTACTGTAAAATAGATCATTTACCAAGAGAATTTCACATTATCTAAGTATGGCATTATCCAGACTAAATTGTTTGATACTTACCAAGCACCTAGTAAAATCTGGTGGCATACATTATTGGGCTCTAAACTTTAACTGCCTAAACTGACTTTTATTTAATCTCTGTCAGGTTCTTCAGTAAAATGATCTAATGATATCTACTGGTGTAAGTGAATGAGGTGGGGCTTATCATTAGGCCTGGCTCCGTAGCCCAGTGTCTTGCTTAGCTACACATTTTCCCTATCTTTATACAGATTTAAGCAATTTCTTTACATTTTAGTTGTAATGTTCTGAGGCCTTTCTAAATTCTGAAATGCATTAACAAATTTGTAGAAATTAATGTAAACAGTGGTATGAAAGAATGCTGGATTTTGTAAAGTCACGTTTTGACAGGCTTGCACTATTATGTAAAGACTAGAATTTAGCCTAAATATTTTCATTTCCCTGGAAATGTGCTGATAATATTAGATTTGAATTTATTTAACATTTTTTAGTAATGCTAAATAGATTGAATAACTATTCTTTAGTTCGTTAAGTACAGACTATAGTATGTTTCAAATAAGTGAATTTTTATTGCGAATAAAGCTTTTCTTAGAATTAAAATTACTTTGATACAACTGTTTTAAAACCTCAATGACCAGTCAATTGCCTGTTGTTTATTTATTCAGATATTTCCAATATTTCCTTCCTGTTTTGGTGCTTTTTTAAAAATAAAGGATATATTCTTTGTGTAGGATTCACTACATGTTAGTAAAACAAAACAAAATAATGAGTGTGTTAATATTGGATCATGAATCAAATTGGTGACTGTAGTCTGATTTCTTTTTTTTTCTTTAATACTAAAGTTTTCACAGGGCAAGGCTCAAATACAGCTTTTCATTTTGGCCAAAGTAATGTGAGCTTGAACATGTTTTTTTCATTAAAGCAAAACAAGACTACATGATGTTTACATCTAATAATCCCACTTAAATTTTGGGTTTTAGAAGGAAATTGAGAAAATTAACTTTTGTGACTTAATATCAAAGACTCTTAATATTAAGGTTTACCTCATTTCAGTAATAAAGGAAAGTAATAAGTCCTTTTAACTGGGCAAGTTGATTACCTGACAGGGTGACTTGGGTAGGGGCATGTGTTACCTAGTCCTGGAAGCTTGTGGTAGATACCACTACTAATGACTGTATCCAGAGGGGAATCAAAATCCTCTTACCTGAAGCAACCAAAACCTATCAATTAGAGGTGTTACTGGAAACAAAACTCCTTTGTTTCTGAAGAGAATCTGTGGTATGGCCAGAATACAATTTTTAAATTTTATTTTTGTGTTGGGGGTGAATCCAGGGCCTCTCAAATGCTTAATAAGCATGTGCCTCTACCATTGAGCTATACCCCCATCCCAGAATGCAAGTCTTGATTGCTATCAGAAGAAAAGGGAATCGTTACATGTTCTAGAACATAACACTGTATGCCCACTACTCATTTAAAATTTCAGGTGTTTAATATTCACAATCATGGAATCTTACCTATGGTCACATATTTTCCAGATGATAAATATGCAGTCTTTTTCACTGAATTTACAGGTAATCAAGTGCTTAAGAATCTCGGCCTCTGATGCATGGTTATTCATGGTAAGGTTTAAACAGGGACCAAAAAATGGGTAGTAAAAACTTATACACTTCTATTAGAAATATAAAATTGATAACCAAGGCCTTAAACCTTATTTAGTTTTAATACCTTAAGAATTTTAAAAGCCTATGCATTAAAAAACATCTGGAGTACTGTGGTTAAATACATAGATCCCAAGGTTAATGTTTTCAATATAAAGTCTAGGTTATTGTGATACAAGGAGGTCTTAAGAGTAACAACTAGTAAGCTCTGAGTGTCTTCTAAATAAGTGCTAGAAAAAGACACTCAGCTTCAAGTTAGGGAAATTTGAATCAAAATACTATTGTCACACTCATTAGGAAGGCTATTATCAAAGTGTTGGCAACGATGTAGAAAAACTGGAACTTATGTGCATTGCTGGTGGGCATGTCAAATGGAGCAGCCAAGATGGAAAAGAAATTTGGTTAAAAAGTTCAGATTATATGTTTTGTTTGTGGTGCTGTAATAAAATACTGAAGACTAGGTTATTTTTAAAAGACAAATTTATTTCTCTCAGTTCTGGGGACTGGGCAAGGCCAAGATTAAGGCTCCAATAGGATCGGCGTCTGAGGGCCTGGTCTCTGCTGCCGAGAGGGAGTCTTGTTGCTGCTTCTGCACATGGGGGAAGGAACCGAAGGGCAAAGAGAGTCTAGCTGGTTCCCTTGAGCCTCTTTTAAATTCTAACTCCGTTCATGAGACAGCCCCTGTGATGTCATCAATCACCAGTACTTGGTTAAGTTGTATTTAACCAAGGCATATGGGTTTATGCCTCTTATTAATAGTATCGTGACCAAAAGTTTTGGGGGACATTCAGGTCACAGCACATAGGAGCCAGCAATTCCACTTTGGGTAGACACCTGAAAAGAAGTGCATAGCAGGGTTTTCCATGGGTACAGTTTGTGATTAAAAAAAAAAAAATAGTGTGGACAGCCGTTACACTGTGAATGTCATTGATGTGCCTGAATTGTATATTTAGACATTTAGAAATGGCAAACTTTATATTTTGCCCAATTAAAGAGGCAAAGAAACAATAACTCAAATTTCAAACATAACATTGCCTTCTTCCCAACTAACCAACATTGCTAGAGAAAAGTCTCACAAGGGGAAGACTGTCGATTTTGTCAGAGACTTTTTTCAAAAGGGAAGACATGTTTAAAGAGGGCACAGAGGAGTCAGAATGTTGTACACAAGTTCAAACTGCATATTCAAGACTAAGGAAGAATACAGAGAACCTGAGTTTTACTACATGTTGTAAAACTCCATCCTGGGTGGAGTGAGGCAGAGAAATTTGGGTGTGGATTAGCTCCCTCTGGTTGCTGAAGGCAAATTAACAGTCCTGGCATGTTTCTTTTATCCCCCTGTGAGAGAGGACTGCATAGAAATAAAATTACAGTAGTTGATAAGACAGTCAATGAAGTGTTTTTGAATATCCTGATGATCTTTGTTTCCCAATGTGTCATAGCAGGCCTTAACTAAGTATTGGGAAACTTTCAGACCTCATTCTGATCCAGAAGTTCATATATATATATAATTTTGTAGTAGGGATTGAACCCAGGGCAGCTTAACCACTAAGCCGTATCCTCAGCCCTTTTTACATTTTATTTTGAGACAGGTTCTTGCCAAGTTGCTCAGGCTGGCTTTCTGAGCCACTGGGATTACAGGCATGCACCACTGCTCCCAGCTCTCTTGTAATATAATATTTTGATTCTTAAGTCCAATACTGGTTGGAATAATAGTTGAAATTGCTTAATGTTATTTTACATTTAATCTTCACAGTAATAGTGTAGTGTAGGTACCACTACTTACATTTCACAGATTGAAAAGGAAGATAACAAAAAAAGTTTACACAGCTAGAGCCTGCCTTCATAGTTACCCACTACCTTGGACTGAACACAGAAGATAGGGATGGGAAGTAGACAGACTTTGGAATTGGCACAAGCAAACTAACAGAAGTGAATTGCAGAAGACAGAATTTGAAGCCTTTATTCTGAAAAACTATTCCTCAAGAGGGACAGCTGTGCCTCCCTCTGAGGACTGAACTTTCCTGAGACTATAGGCACCCAGGGCCAGGATGTTTGTTTTCCACAAGGACAAATAGTAGTTGGCTATATTTTTCATCTTTGCAAGTTCCCCTTCTAAGTGATTGGTTCCAGGATCCAATAAAGCCTACAGGTGAGTCTGCTGAGGTAATGGTTTACACCAATGGTTCCTGAAGTTGACTGTCAGAATTACCTGGAGGGCCCCATGTCCCCAGAGTTTGAGTCAGGTCTGAACTGGCTCTGACAATTTTTATTTCTAACAAGTTCTCAAGTAATACAGATGCTGGGGTTCTGTGGACTACACTGAGGACTAAGGATTCCACTGAAGACAAGGATTTTACTTTTATCAGTTTATTAACAGATCATGTTTTCATAATAAACATTAGCCGCTAGTTGAATGAGGTTCATTACTCTTGTGATTACTCTTACTGATGTGAATAAAATCGAACTTGTCAGTCTCTTTCAGTACTTCAAACATTAAATTCTAACAAGTTAAGTTTTGGGCCTATAACTTGCTATTTACAAGACCAGGTCTGGTCTTGACAGTAAAGCCACCATCAAAAGCTGCATTAAGAACTTCATCCAGGCAGCTTGCTGTGACAAAACTTAAGTCCTGTCGTACATTGCTTGGGATTTCTTCAAGGTCCTTCTCATTCCTCTGAGGAATAATGATTTGCTTTAATCCTGCTCTGTGTGCTGCCAGAACTTTGTCTTTAATTCCACCCACCTGTAAGGAGAGAAAACACTTTTTAAGGTTTGTGATCACCCTCAAGCTGTGAAAGGAACTGATCCAACCTTCTTTCACTGAGTATAATTAAGACATCTGAACCATCTTCCATTTTAATAGAATGAGCTAGGAAGCCATTAAGAAGGTTTTAAAAAAGTGACCTTTTTCTTTCTGTTACCATTACATTGAATTGTTTTAAATGAGAGAAAATCTAAATTTTTGATAGGGGTGGGTGGGTACCTCATTTATCAACAATTCCTTTTTTATGGCCAAGGTTAACATACTCCATTTTGTAATAACACCAATCTTCAGGTTTATTCTCAAAAACTATATTTAGCATTATTTTGACCATAAATACTGTTCTTAGTAATGGATAAGTGTTTGAAGACATAAATAATACTTAACTTGATTTAAATATCACACAATGTAACATGTCAAACATTATGTGGTATCCCATTAATATGTATAATTTTCATATCTTTATGTTAAAAGTGAAATTAAGGGGCTGGGGATATAACTCAGTTGGTAGAGTGCTTGCCTCGAATGCACAAGTCCCTGGGTTCAATCCTCAGCACCACCAAAAAAAAAAAAAAGATGTGATTGCCAAAGGAGGAAAAATAATTTAGAAATGTTGCTACAGAGCTTAGTAAACCAGGACCTCTGTGTCACACTACATGAAGAAAATATACCTCTAAGCTATTTAGGCAGTTTTAAAATAGATCCACAATCAATGGTCCCTTCACAAAAGATGGAGTCTTAATTCCCCTCCTTTTGAATGTAGGCCAGGTTTTATGACTCCTTTACAAGAATAGAGTGTGGTGGGAGTGATGCTATATAACTTTCAAGGTTAAGTCATTTAAAAAAAAATGCACTTCTACTTGGATAGATCTCTGATCACATCCCCCAGAGCTAGGCAGCAAGTCACCATGTTTGAGGTCACCCACACAGCTTATAGAAAAGCCTGTAAGGTGGGGATCTGGGGTCTTCTGCCAACACCAGACCTAATTTGCTAGACATGTGCATGAGCTACCTTAGAAACAGATCCAGCCTTATTGACGGTAAGATGAGAGACCTTGAGCCAGAAAAAAGTGACCAAGCCTCTCCTGAATTCCTGAGCCATGGGAATTTTAGAATAAAAAATGTTGTTTGGGGGTGATGTATTATACAGCAAAAGATAACAGAGCTCTCGGTCACACCCCCTACAACAGGTAATCCCTAGAGACTGCACTGGGAGCTCTCCAGCCATCTGCTCTATCAGGCCTTCCTGCACCACTGTCACCTTCCCCTCATGATTCTACCCTACTGCCGTCCTCTGAAGTTTCTTTCATGCCACCAGAAGTACACTCTAAAGTACCTTCTTCAAAAAGTATGTAAGATAAACAGATTCCATTTGCACAAAGGAAAAAGTCTATTTTGCTTTCATACTTCATAGTAAGGCCATGGACACAAGACTAAATTTAAAATAATTTTCACTCAGTTTTAAAGGTACTACACATCCACTGTCACTTATGACACCTTTATCCTTAGTGTATCTGCAAAGCCAAGAGGATGACATCTTCCTGGTTGGTACAGGTCCTTCAATCTGAAGATACCTTCAATTGGGGGAATGTTCCATTTTTTCTTTGACAATTTGTTTAACTCCACTTTCCTCTTTGCCATAATATTTCTATTAGATGCTGGATCTGTCAGATTGTTTTTATAATTTTCACTTTGTGTGTGTGGGTGGGGTGGGGAGGGGGTTCAGGAGGAGACTGGGGATTAAGTGTAGGGACACTGAGCTACATCCCCAGCTCTTTTTTTGTATTTTGAGACGGGGTTTCAATAAATTGTCCAGGCTGACCTGGAACTTGAGATCCTCCTACCTCAGCCACCTGAGTAGCTAGGATTACAGGTGTGTGCCACCATGCCCAGTCTAATTTTTTTCCAGAGTAGTTCTTCAGCCAGAAAAAGTCTGGACTTTTAAATCTGACAGCTTTGTCTTCTGTTCTTAAATTGTTTTCTTCAGCCTTAGCAGGTCTTTTAAATGTCACTGCTTTCCTTATGTCTCTTTGTAATAGATTAAAACTGAAGGCTTACTCAAAGCTGTGGCTCCTCAGCTAGACATGGGGAAGCCTTTACATACATGCATTGTTATTTGCTCTTGAGGGGAGGGAACCATCCATGTAGGAGGCCTATTTGTTCTATAGAGATTTCAGTGACTTTCTTGTTCTCTTGATCTGCATCTTTTGGCTCTGAATGAGGCTTTATCTGGATTTCTGCTGGGAGGTGTCTCTACTTCCAATTCTGATTCATAAGCCAGGACACATCTATCTCCCCAGAAGTTTCGTGTATTGTCAGTTTATCACACCACTAGTTTTTGAGTATTATAATTTATTCTCCTTTATTCCTTGCTTAGTAGTCTACCATCATGGACCAGGAGACCAAAGTAAGAGTCTCATTTCCTTTAGTAGCTCAGCTAATAAGAACTACCACTTTATAGTATGAACTATAATAGTTCTTGGTTAAGGAAAAGAAAAGAGATGAATGATTCTTTTTAATTGAATATAAATATACAAATACACCATCATAACAGTTTAGAATATTACTTAATTGAACTTTTAAATATTGAGCAACAGAGAGCATTTCTAATTGGTTGTTTTGTTGTTGGGGAATGAATCCAGAGGCCCTCTACCACTGAGCTACATCCTCAGTACTTTTTATTTTGAGACAGGGTATGGGTAAGTTGCTTTGGGCCTTCTAAATTGCCATGGCTGGCCTTGAACTTGCAGCCCTTCTGTCTCAGCTTCCATAATTACTGGGATTACAGGCAGGCACCAACACACCTGGCAATTCTATGATCTATTTTCACCATTACTTCATAAAAGAAGGAGTTTTCTCAGAGTAAAGAACATTTCTTTCTCTTCTCAATTTGCTATGAACCTGCCAAAAGTTTGTTATAGACTGATAGTGATAACTAATCACTTAAAACCCTAAATACTTCCTCAAATTCTATGCATTTTACTAGTGTTTTAAAAGTAGTTTAAAATAGGGATGGAAGTTCCAAGACCCAACAAGTATAGAACTTTTTCAAAATTTGACAATTAGATATGGTTAATTCTTAAGTCAGTTTCAATTTTATAGTAGTTGTTTTTCTTTAATTCTATCAACTAAATCTAAGATTTCTATAAGTGGATGGGCAATCTTAAAGGAACTTCAAAAGGTAAGAACTGGGTTTAAAGCTTAAAAACAACTATTCTATATCATACATGCACAACAGATTTAACAACAGTTAACTAAGAAAATTTTCATGTGAACTGGTGATATTTCTGATGACCACATTTAACAAGTCTTTTAGATGGGAGAACATGAGGAAAATTATAAGGTTTTCTTAATCAAAAGTTTAAAATGATTAATTATAGGTATAAAATTTAATGTATGCTTAAACCAAAGTGTTTACAAAAAGAAGACAAACCACTAATTTAAATTTTAAATGAATTTCAAGCCATATAAGTAGTTTTTCCATACTTACTGGAAGAACAAGACCTCTTAGTGTAATTTCTCCAGTCATGGCTACATCTGAACGTACCAACCGCCCACTAAAAAGTGAGGCGAGACAGGTTACTATGGTAACACCAGCAGATGGTCCATCTTTTGTGACAGCTCCAGCTGGGAAGTGCAGATGGATGTCTGTGTTGTCAAGAAGATCAAAACTTCCAAAAGCTTTAAAAAGGAAAAAACGATTTTAATGTAGAAACATTGAACCTGTTTTCTTTTTCTCCTAAAAAAGAAAATCAGACAAAAATGAATGTTTTGGGTAAATGAATCCTTCAAAATATTAATGAATAGTACAATTAGAGTGAAGGTCTGGAAGAATAGATTTATTCTATTCTAAGTAAGATTCAAAACAAAGCAAAATAAAACAGACCTTTTGAACTAGTTTCTAGTTCAGTCCTAAAAATAGGTACTAGGATCCCTATAGGGGTTCAAAAACATAGTTCTGTACTTCACTGAACCGTGGAAGTGATAATTTAAAGCTCATCTTAATCTTTGTCATAGAATTGTGAGATGCCTCCTGGATCATGATTTGAAGGTGGTTCTTCCTTCACAGCTGTACCCCAAGTATTGCAAGCCACGTACCATTAGTCAGATGGTATTTCTTTGCATTGCTGCGGAGCCAGCTAATAGCAAGATGGGCAGACTCCTTCATGACATCCCCTAGTTGGCCAGTCAGTGTTAACTGACCTTCACCATCCATTCGACTTGCCTCCACAAACATGATTTTCCCACCTAAGGGAGTCCAAGCCAAACCTATTGCCACTCCTGGTTGATTCAAACGCTCAGATACCTTGAAAGAAAGAAGAAAACAATCAGTTATGCCAAGAAGTGCCAAGTTATTTTCAGACTAACAAAATCATGCTATCCTGCAGGGGTCTGCTTTTACCATAGAAGACTTAAGTTATATATCTCAATATACTTATTACCCAGCATGATTCTGAGTCATACTTACCACTTACTTTCTGGCTTTCTGCCAGAAGAAATACCTAAACTTCCTCTTTGGCATTTATCAGAAGTAATTTGACCTTAAAATATGTGTGAATAACTTTGCTTTTTAAGAATCAGATCTAGTTATATGTATTCTAATTTTCAAGAAGCCCAGCAGTCTTCTCTATTGAAGTTTCTTTATTAGGCTACACACACACACTCACTCCAGAACCCAACTTCACTGTAGGTAATGATGAATCTGAGGAAATAGAAACCCTCTTATTAACACATACTTAGGAAGTATTTGCTACAGGGGTCAAATGTGAAGGTCTATATTACCCCTACATTTTATTTCTCTAACACTTACCTTTACTTTCTCTCTTATTGCTGCAGAGATACTGTAAAATACCCATTAGTGATATCTTGAGTTCGTTCTTACTGACTGGAGTTCACTGTGCTGCCTGGCTGCCATTTTAAATGAACGTGCTGCTCACCCACGTGACAGGCTATATAGGTTAACACACTGAAGTTAAGGAAACACAAAGCAACAGCTAAAAGACAGCAATATTAACTTATACTGTATCTCTTGAACCTGTGAATTTCTTATCCTATGGAAGTAATTCATGGGAGAGGAATCGAGCACAGTAAGTCCACCAAGCACTATTCAATAGGAGATTTTTCTACTGACAAGTAACTTTCTCACCAAGGAACAGTAATGTCTGTAGTGTGGGTTTCTAGTTAGAAGGATGGATTGCTGCTGCTTATTCCTTTTCCAATGGGCTTGGACAGTGAAAGTCTTCTTTTTAAAGTTTACTCTAGCTGGGTACAGTGGTGTATGCCTATAATCTCAGTGGCTGGGAGGCTGAGGCAGAGAATTCAAGTTCAAGGCTAGCCTGAGATTCTGATCAAGAACCTGTTTCAAAATTTAAAAACAAAAAGGGTGAAGGACTGGGGATGTGGCTCAGTGGGTAGGCACTCCCTGGGTTCAGTTCCTGGTTTTAAAAAAAATTAATTTGCATTAACTTCACAGGATAGGTTAGAGCATCAGCTGAACTGGTGCTAGACTACAGATCTCAGTTCCCTCTGACTTCGGCACTTGCAATGTTCTAGATTTATGTGGGGGGGGGAGAGGAGAGAGGAGACAGAAAAGGCATGTGCAACTGATTTTTTATGCAAAAAATCAGTACTATTTAAAGTGGTCACTAAGTTGTTTTTTTTTATCCCCCTTAATATAAAATAAATTTTCTACACCTGAATGACATCTAATTTGGCTCCTTTCTAGGGTGGGGTTAAACAGTCCTAAAGAAAAATTCTCAATATACTAAATCATGTTTAATATATCACAAAAAGTCATTTGATGAACAAGAAAAATAATTTTCTTAGAGCTGAATCCTCAACTTATTTGTCAAACAATACTGAAAGGATCCCCGAAGAAGCAGTGGTGTGATTCTCCTTGATCATAATGTTGATTCAAGAAACCAAGCGGGGTGGGGGGCGGAGTAGGATGGTATTTTTATGTAAAGCCTTGACCCAGTGTTTAAGACTATAATTGTATTTAGATCTTGTTATTGCTCCAGTACATAGGAATTGTGTAGAGTGTTAAAGCAACTGTATATGTTTAAATTGTGTGTGTTGAAGATTAGGAAAAAAGATAATGGTTATTTTTCCTTAATGAAATAACTTTCTTCTCTCCACCAAATTTTTTCTGAAGTTAATGGCATTTGGGTCAAGGTTTTTATTAAAAGCTACATTTTATAACACTGGCACCCCCTCCCCCCAAAAAAGTAGTTTTAAGCTTGAAAAAAAAAAAAGAAAGAAAGAAACCAAGGCCGTTTTCCCGCACTCATCATCTGCTGGAGTGTCTTGGTTTCTTTGGGCAGAAGTGATTTAGAGGCTTTTAACTGGAAGAGGGTGGTGTAGATAAGTGCCTATGGCTAAACCAAAAGCATGCAGGCTCACTATCACTATTGTGACTTGGTAGTGAGTGTTCTGATAGAGGAGACTAATGACAAATCTGTGGAACTTAATATCAACGGGTTCTACCAAACCTGGAAACTCTGTGATCAAGGCCAACAGGAGTTACTTAAAGAGGAAAGAACATTTAATTCTTAGACTTGAAGTCATATTTTTGAGGGCAGGTGCTCTCACAATGAAACCAGTGCCAGGTTCCACATGTTTCTCCCTCAGAAATGATGGCATACAGACACATATTCTTGTGAGTGCAGGCCATTTTACCCCTCTACAGGAAACGAGTTGTGCTCTCTAGCATTCCCTACAAGGGGGCTCAACACAGTCATTATAAAACAGTGTTCATGTACCAGTCCTTTCCTATCAGCTTATATTCCCATTATTGGTTTGTGGAGTCATCAGTTATATTAACCAAGACAGACTGGGGCTTGAAGTTTAGGATGCTTTTTCCGTAGAAACCATGGAACCTTAGTATCTCAGTATTTCTGTTTCTCAATATTCTACCACTACTAGCAATAAGTAAATATGAAGACCAGGGAGGCATTTAAAATATTTAAAGAAAACCTAATTAATAATAGGATGGGTCTTATAAGGTTGCATTCTTAGTATGACATCAGTGTTTAAGGAGAATTTGTGTATCAATTTTATACTTCCCTTTCCTTTTGATTGGCTAAAAATAGTGATATTTGATTGAAACAACATTTTTTTATGTACCTTCCAGGGCTGTAGCAATAGTAGCTACCTACCTGATAATCTTTTTGGAGTCTTCGTATTGAGACCACAAGCCTTGGATTTATGAATATTGATTTTTCTAGTTGTGGATTTGTTTTCGTAGCATTAAGGATTTTATTTTATTTTTCCAGTGCAAGGAACTGAACCCAGGGTCTCATGTATGCTAGGCAAGCACTCTACCACTGAGCTACACCCTAGCCCTGCCACAGTCATTTCTTAAAGCTGAATTGTATAGCCCCGGTCTGCCCTGACTCTTAACATTGCTAACAGCTGCTTTAAGATCCTTTCACTAGTCCAGTTGCACGTGCCTGTAATCTTGGGAGGCTGGGTCAGGAGGACTGCAAATACAAAGCCAGCATGGAAGACTTAGCAAGACCCCATCTCAAAATAAAAATAAATAAATAAAAGGGGCTGAGGATGTACCTCAGTGTAGATTACACCTGGGTTCAGTCCCTAGAACCCTATCCCCCCCAAAATATACTTTAGGGCCTTTTCTTGGCACAGCTGCTGCTTTATGGGGTGCTGGGCCAGACTGGGTCTGTAGCATTAGTGCAGTCTTTTTATTTTTTTTATTTTTATGTGGTACTGAGGATCGAACCTAGTGCCTCACATGTGCGAGGCAGGGGCTCTACCACTGAGCCCCAACCCCAGCCCCACAGTGCAGTCTTTAACAAGGCAACTGCAGCATGTTTAGCTGGAGTAGGATGGAGAAGTCATTTACTCTCATGATTCTTTGGGGGCATTTAGTTAGTGCCCATTTATTTCTTTGACCATTTCTAGCAGCTGATTTTGTTTGCTTAAAAGATGAGCATGATGATGGAATTCCTGGAACTCACCTTTGGATTCGCCCTATTCAGGATGGTTTTAAAATCTGCATGTCTATCCTCTTCCTTTTATTGCCTGTTAAGGGTAATAACCTTTAGATAAGGGTTTTCATACACTATGGTCAGCAGCAGATACTTCATACACCACCTTGTATGAAGTTTCATGCAAGGTGGGGGGACTATCTAAAAACATAAAAGGAGACAGGGACAATCAAATGACATGAATCCTGTCCCTAACCAGTTGTACTCACGGTCCTTCATCACTTTGGGGGTGCCCCCTCCTAAAAGCAGCCTGATTTTCTTTGGTGATCTACTCTTTTCATGTAATCTCCATGAGGCAGAAACACAGGCTCTTGTCTCCCTCCCACTTGAGAAAGTACAAGGGCACAGTGAGGGAATAGGCACATGGCCCGAAACCAGAAGGCCCCTCCTAGGATCTGGGGTGTGCTTTGAGCTAGGCCTGCACTGGGAGAGCTGGGGTGGCGTGGACCTAGTCTAGGCTGCTTCAGGACACTTGTGCTCATGCCTTCTCTTCCCTGTTCTTTCTGCTGCAGCACAGGGAGACTTTTACTTTATGGTTATTTTTAAAAGTGGGTTTAACTGATCTTCTTTCTATAGTAAATGTTATGGTATTTGAAAAGGTGACCTATGATACAGTTCCTAAATTTGAAATCTAGACTAAGTTCCTAGAACCTATTTTTCAACTCATTTAGAGAATTCTAAAGGGATATAACTCATTAATAAAGTGTGCCTTCTCACCTTTCTTCACTGCCAATTTGCTAGGTCAGTAACATTTTTGGTACTAATATATTTTTATAGTCACATCTTCAATGAAAGTAAAAACAATAATGGATTATTAAAGGTTATTAAATGTGGACACAAAATTAGGAGTATAAAAAGTTGTTTTATATTTTATTTATTTATTTTTTTAGGGAGCATGATAGTTGTAGGAACTAGTTGGTTCATTTTTTTTACTTGGTACTATAGTGGGTGTTTTATAGCCCTTAACTCACCAAATCCTACTAGCTCTCTAATAATACATGTATAATGACCCCACGAATCAGAGACATCAGATTTAAGGAGGTTGGGTTTATCATTAAGTAAGCAGCCCCCTTACCTCTTTCAGACCATATTCTTCCTCCTTCCTATTAAAACCTGTTTACATCAGCTGGCTTTCCCTCTTCATTCTCTCCCCACTACCTTCTACACTCAAAGACACTCTTCCTCTCCTTACCATCCTAACTCCTGCTGTCATCCTGGTATTTTGGTACACACACAATATCTGGCTTCTCAGTTTTTTTTTTTTTTTAAATATTTATTTTTTAGTTTTCGGCGGACACAACATCTTTGTTTGTGTGTGGTGCTGAGGATCGAACCTGGGCCGCACGCATGCCAGGCGAGCGCGCTACCGCTTGAGCCACATCCCCAGCCCTTCTCAGTTCTTTTTTAACAACACCTAAACCCATCAGTTCTTTTCTAGGTCCTTGTCACTAAGAGAAAACATACTACCTCTGAACCTGCATTTTAAGTCCCCCTCCTGCCTGCCCATCACACTCTCATCCTTCTGGCTGGCCTCGGCCACTTTCTGCCTGCACACCAGCTCTCCAAGCTTCACTGCTGTCCTTGTGCAGCCAGCAGACTTTTCCCCTCTATCACTACAGTCTTTTCCTTGTATACAACTTGCCGCTTTCTTTATAATACCCTGCAAAGGGTATCCCTTCTCCTATGGCAAGTCACATCTTCCACTTGTGCTTTGGGTCCCATCATCTCATATCATCAAAGCATCAGTCCTGTCTGTCTGTTGGATTATTCTTATCAGCAAATATGCTAAACGTCCCCCCTTTGAGCTCCCAATTCCCTTTTAGCCACCTAATTTCACTGTAATCATTCACAGCTGAATTTCTCAAAATCTGCCTATGTACTAATTCTATTTCCTTCTCTCCTATTCTTTCTACAGCACACTCTAAAAATCAATCAACCCCAACATTCATTGTGAAATCACTCTTTCAAAAAACCTCCAACCTCAATACTGTCAACTTCAACATACATTTTTCTGATCACCTTTTCTGGGTTTGTTTTGGAACCAGGGATTGAACCCAGGGTGCTTAACCACTGAGCAACATCCCCAGCCCTTTTTTATATTTTAGAAACAGAGTCTCACTGAGTTGCTTGGGGCCTCACTAAGTTGCTGAGGCTGGCTTTGAACTTGCAATCCTCCTGCCTCAGCTTCCAGAGCTGCTGGGATTACAGGCATGCACCATCCGGCTTCTTTTATCTCTCAAAAAACAAGTAAACATCACTTGACTTCCCTTCTTGAAATATTCTCTTTTGTTTTCATGGCAGCACAACATCCTATTGTCCTCTTTTGTGATTGCATGTTCTGTCCTCTCTTTTTATGTCTTTTGTGATGGCTCTTCTAAATAATTCCTAAATAATGATGTTCAGCAGGGCATGTTCCTAGGCTACCTGCTCTATTCTATGTACACTTTTTCCTTAGGTAATCTCAATATTTCTGGGGCTTTAAATATCCTCAATTTTTTGGACAACTCTATAATTTATATCTTCCTCCAAATAGTAGATTTGCATGTTTAAATGCCCACAGATACTTCATAGATATTTCAGATTTAACATGTTCAACAGAGCTGTTTGCTTTGCAACACACACCACTTGCCCCCATTTTCCCCATCCAGGAAAATGGGACTATCACAAATACCCCATCCTTCTAGCCAGACCCATGTAAGTTCATTTTGAAAATTTTCCTTCATTCCTTATATATTCCTTCAGCAAGTGTACCTTTACCATTGTCAAGTCTACCTCTAACGATGTATCTTGGAGATGTCCAGTGCAGTTACTCCCTATCTCAGTATACCCTGTTTGTTTTCTTTATAGCATCAAGCTCAATTTGTATTTATTTATTTATTTTCCTCCTAAACTTATAGAAAGGTAGAGAACATATCCTGCCTATTCACCACCGTATAAATTAGGTTCTTAATATGTATTTAAAGAATGAATGAAACTCTTTCTAGAAGAAACAACAGACCTTAAACTTTTGCCTTTCATGGAGAACACAGGCATTCAAACTAGAAAGATACCTTACAATATCTTAGAAATATTTTAACATGTATTCCAGTATTCCAGTATAATCTCTCTCTTCAGATTTTTTATCTAGAAAAGCAAGAAGAAGAGAAACAAGCCTGGCCATTGGGAATTCTTTGCAAAGAGCAGAGGACCTGTTCTGTGTGTCTGTGCTGTTTCTTTAATATAACCAACAGCCAAATTTTGGAGCTAGGCAGGCCTGGAAGCCTCTCAATTCTGGTATAAATTGTGTTTTCTGGCGAGTTATTTAAATGCTCTAAGCCTTGTTGCTTTATTTATTATTGGAAAGACACCATAAATGAAGATCCTTTGTAGAGGACCTTTCACCAGGCCTGATACACAACAGATACACCAATAGGAATGGCCAAGAGGTGGAGCCCAGCCTCTCCCCTTCCAAAACTGTGTGCTACGAATATACTGCAAATAAAAAACTGATGTAGAGCAGATGCCTTTTTTTTTTTTTTTCAAACTGCCATACATCATTGCCACTGTCTTTTAGCAGGCAAGGGCAGGAGTTACCTTTGTCTGACAGGGTATCAAAGAAGAGTAGGAAAAATATTGAACTTGGAGTCACCACATCTGATTTTGAATGCTGATTCTACTGATCATGCCTTCTGTAAACTTACGTAATTCACTTAATGTCTTTGAGATTATTTTTCTGTGTATAAAAGGGAAGATTTCTAGTCTTAGTGGTGGCCCTCATGAATAATAAAGAAATGTTCCATAAATCTTAATTTTACAGATTTAAAAACTGAAGCAGGGCCTGGGGGTATAGCTCAGTGGTAGAGTGCTTGCCTGGCATGCACAAGGCCCTGGGTTCAATTCCCAATAGTGCAAACAAACAAAAGCTGAGGCAGAGTATGGTTAAATAACTTGGGGCTAATTGTCATCAGATAACTGTAGGTAGAGACAGAAACCCCAGATTACAGGGCGAAAAAAAATGAACAAAATGTTCCAAACTCTCAATCACCAGATGTTTGATTCTAAAATTCCATTTATAAAAGGCAAAATGACTATTAAGAGTCTTCCTTTTGATTCACATTGGTTAGAAGAATTCATGTGTAATAGCTCAGATGCTACAAGGAAAATAAAATCGTTTTTTCCAATGACATCAAAGAGAGTTACTAAGCAATATTTATAAAATATCTCATTTCTGTTCTCTTGGCTCTTTCTTTGCCAAAACTCTGGGAATGTCAGCAATGCTTCCAAAACTAACATCAGCAGAAATGGTTGGGAGAAAAGGGTTTATGTAACAAAAACATGTATCAATTTTTTTTTGTTTTTATTTATAGCTCTAAATTCTTAAAGAACTGCTGGGATATACTTTTTTCTGGAAAGCCTAGAGGAAAAAAGTCAACCAGACCTGTAGGAATCAGAACCCATTTGGTCATCATTCAAAATCACTGATTCTCTCAGGACAAGAAGGAAGGTTTTTTTTCTTTCAAAATTCAAATCCATGACATCTTAAGGATTCAAAACACCCAAATAATTCCTCTGATTCTATAGTTCAAGTCTGGATTTACTGTCAAGAGTAAACAACTTCATTTTTGTAACAAAGTTTTGTAGAAAGGCTCATTAGCTCTAATGACAAGTTCAGTGTTTAAATAGCTAAACAAGATGGGTTTGAGACAATTTCTCCTCTCCTTAGTTTTAAGAACTTAGGGAAAACTAGAGCCACTGGAATGATTTCAAACATTAGATAAAGAGATTTTTCTTATGCATATATAAGATTCATTTTCCATAAATCTTCCCCTTAAACTGACAAAAGAAGGAATAATAAAGCTGAATTCAATAGTACAATACAAACTTTTTCTAGTTATTGACTTACAAAAGCTCATCTAAGTGCCCTATAAAGTACTTAATAATGCCCTCAATGGTCATTTTCTCTCTTTTTAAAAAATGTATACTTTATTTTTTACTGATGACAGAATTTTTATTTGCAAAATAAAAAGTGTTAACAAACAATAAAATAAATCTGTTACTGTGTCCTTTTTGATAAATGAGAGAATGAACAATTGCAACAAAAACATTCCAACAATCTTCTGAGCCCGATGGCAGTACTATTCAACTTGTTTTCCAAAAATATTCCATGATCAAACTTATCAATGGCCATTTTCTAAAACTTCTTTTTATCAACTGCTTCAATTAAGTTCTGAAGATCAGGCCTTCTTCCAACAGGTAAAGTTAGGGGAGAAACATGGAAATAGTGTCACACCTGTGCTCAGGTTTAACCTAAGGATGGCCTCAAACTTATGATCTTCCTTCCACAGTCTCCTGAGTTGCTGGGACTGCAGGTGAGCCTAACCTACGAGATTATTAACAATGAAACAATTGGTTCCATCTGGTTTGCACAGGCAGCAGCTTGAAGCTAAAGCTGTACTTATGTTTTCAGATATTTTGCATGAGATTGATTTCCTATCTCCTCTCCCAATCCCTTCATAGCACAAGAAATCCTTATGTAGAGTGCATACACTGGGAATATAATTCTTGTAGGGAGGAAAGTCAAAGAAATTTAGGACACTATTCATATAATGGAGCTGGTTAACAGAAATATGAGGGTGGGTTTCTAAAATCTGGCTAGCGTCACATATTCACATTAAGTACTGAAACCTGATACCAAACAGAAAACATGTTATGATTCTAAAACAAAACCCTGCCTCTGGAAACACCCAATTTATTTTCTCCTTGACCTATTAACAACAACCACAGTAAATTGGTGAGTACCAACTAAGAAATGAAAATGATCACCTCCATTTCATACATCGGGGGCCCAAGGATGTCTTTCAGAGCATGGAAATCAATCAAAATTGGCATTTCAGGTGGTAGGGCCAAGTCAGTAGTGTCACTTATAGATTCTGGTTTTGTATCTTCTAAGATGTGTTCTCTGCAACCTAAAAGAGAAATTTTTATTTATAAGTTCTAAGAGATTTGCTGGTTTCAAAATTTATTAGTAAATAAGCACAGTGGATTTCAACAGTTCAGTCCTTTTTATGCATTTATTAAAGTATAAAAATTCACTTTGTATAAAGCAGGTGGAAGAATTAGTCCTTCAAGACCCCCTGGTATAGGCAATTGCCTTCTTTGTTTATTTTGGCTTGTTTATTGTCTGTCTCGGTTATTACAGTGTAAGATTGAGGAGGGCAGCAACCTCTTTTGTCTTCTTAACCATTCCATTCTTACATCAAGAACAATGTCTGGCAATGTTCAACTAATGGCCTTTACAGACCTGATACTGAAGAGTCAAATGCAATAGATTACTTTGTACAATTCTCTGTTAGATCAACACAACTCAACTTTATGACCAACTTTCAATTCCGTCTCCAGAGGAGTTTGATCAGGTGTCCCATTTTCTAATGGGCAACATGAACTTGGAAATGACAGAACTCATATAAGTAATGAACCTTTTGTAAACAATAGCTCAACTCTAATAAGGTTATAATTTGCCAATAAATAAATATAATGGTGAGAGAATATGAAGCCTGATTTGAAATCCCTGTAATAATGGGCTACTTCTTTTGTGCCACCTTTGTGGCTGATAACTTATTAAAGTATTGACTTGGTTTGGGACTAGATACATTTAATAGTCACACTTCACAATGGATTTAACAGGCCTCCTCTATCAATCTTTGTAATTCCAGTTTGAGAAAAAAGAATATTATAAACCTGTGGTCAGAAACCTAAAAAGAGGAATAAAGGTTCAAAATATGTACAAAATGTTGGGCACTATTGTAGCTCACCGCTAATCTTGTGTTTCTTTTTCTTTTAGATATAATTATTTTAGCCATAATTATTCTTATAATACCTCATAAAATACTTTGTATAAAATTCTTTTTTTAAAAAAATATATATTTTTAGTTGTCAGTGGACCTTCATTATGTGGTGCTGAGAATTGAACCCAGTGCCTCACCCTTGCTAGGCAAGCACTCTACCATTTTTGTTACCTCTTTACATATACTCCCTTCTGAAAGTGATAACTATTATGTATTAACAAGCAATATATAATAATTACATTGTTACCTGACATTATATGTCTCTGTTTTAGTTCTGCTATGATTCCTTCATTCCTTTTTTCTTCTCCTTTCTGATATCTCATGAAGTTATAATAAAATTTTTCCCACTAATTTCTTTCTTTCCAAAGTGATTACTGAATATAGTTAACTGTAGCAAGCCCTAATTTTAGACTCTAATGCCAACTGCAGACATCCTGGAGTAATCATAAATACCTTGAGGTGACATCTGCTGATTTACTGACTATTCTCCTGGGCTTTGCTAGGCTCTTCTTTAAGATGGAATCAGAAGTGATACAGAAACAAAACAACAATTCATATTCTCACTACTTTATGGCTATCTGACAGAACAAATGATACTATGCAAAGTGTCAAACCTCTCACTACCTGTCTTGGTGGGACTGTTCTGAAAGAAAATCCTTTGTGGACTGTGAAGTGCAATACACCTATTGTATCAGAGGTGCTGAGTCTTGAATTACATGTACTTTCAGAATCACACCTGCAAGGTTTGGCCCAATCATATTCTAGGAAATCTTCCTGATCTTTCTAACTTCTTTTATGTCACTCATTTATTTCACAAAATCTAGTAATTATTGGATTTCTTAGTAGCTTGTGAAATGACAAATTTTCTGCCTGTTGTTCTGCTTGCAACACTTTTATTCCGAACAATTCCAATGACCCAGGTTAGGAAAAAAACCTCCAGTGATCAGTTTAACTACATGTAGATTTCAAAGCTGAAGAGAAAGCAGGTGTCTTTGCTTAATTAATGCACAGAAAGAAAAGCACTACCTGTCTCAGGTTACTATACTCCAAAGACGCAAGGAAGTGGTACTTTGAAATTTCAGCCAGTACAGGGAGGCTGCAAGTTTCTCCAGTGTGCGGCGCTTTGTGAGCTTTTCTGAGATCAAATTACTGTTGCCATCCTGTATTTCACTATCACAGGAGGAAGTAAGGCTGGATGGGTGAAAGCCTATCCACAATTATGTAACCAATGCTTTAGGACATCCAATTCTTTTCAAAGTGTGGTACTGAATTCAGTGCTTTGAGTACTAAGCAGGTGAGGGTGGGCTAATAAAACTAGACTAGACCTTATAATATAAAGGATTATAATTCAGGCACAGCAGCTGTACTGTAAAATATTCAACAAACTCAGAACTAATCTGCACTTTAAATTGACATTTTCCATATTAGAACATAAGCCTAGAGAACTAAAGCGCCAATCAAGAAGATGGTGCCAGCTAACTGGGCGACGGGATCGCACTGCCAGGTGCAATGGTACACACCTGGAATCCCAGTGACTCAGGAGGCTGAGGCAGGAGGATCCCAAGTTCAAGACTAGCCTTAGCAACTTAGTGAGGCCCTTAACCAACTCAGTAAGACCTTGTCTCAAAATAAATAAAAAGGGCTGGGGAGGTGGTAAAGTGCCCCTGGCTTCAATTCTCAATATCAAATAAATAAATAAAATAAAATAAATCCACTGTACCTTGTGTAATACAACAAGAGAGCAAGGAAATGCTGAATTTTCACAGAATACATGCTTGATTCCTCATTAAAGTAAAGAACAAATAAAATACCATCCTATATATGCCATTTGGGGAATGAGGCCCAGTTACAATTAAACCTTCCCAGTCTCATGCACAGGTTTTCAAGCACTCCGTTCTAGATCCACATTCTCCCTGTCAGAAGATATCAGCACCAAGACGAGACAGGCCTTATCCAAGACTGTTACACTCAAGCAGGATAAACTTTTTCAGGGAAGGTAAAAACACCAGCAACAAAAATTTCAACGCGCTGGCATAATATGGAAGCCCCCACCCCCAAATCCTTCCTACTGGAATTATGTAGTTTCTTCTTTATGTACCCTTCTGTTGGACTAAATAGTGGTTTAAAAAATGGTCAATATGCATATTAAAATGATTGTTTCTCTAAGAAGCAAAGAAGTTATAAAAGCCAGATGTCATTTTTCTGGTTATTAAAATAAAACAGCTAGTAAAGAAGTTTAAGAAATAACAAAGGTCAACATTAAAGAAAGAGAAGAAATATTTTCAGCGTTGCTTATGATTTAATTTCTCAGAAAAGTAATTTGGCAATATATTGAACACTTCAAATGTTCAAAATCTCAGCCTCCGTTTTTTTTTTGTAGCAATCTAGTCTTAAGAACATACAAAAAAGTACAGATAACAGTTTATATATAAAGTTACAGTAGCATTCTTCATAGTAGCAAGAATCAGACTCACTATAAATAATAAATGTTGGAAACATGGTTAGGTGACCATGGAACATGCACATCCATCTGATAAAATACTACACAGACACTAACACTGGTTCCCAAGTGTTTTTAAGTAATGTAAAAAAATTTTTTTGAAACATTAACCTAGAGAAAGGAGATGGCATACAATTTCACACAGCCTGATTTTTATACAATATACCAAGTGATATGGTCCAAAATGTTAACAAAAGTTACTCCATGTGTTATGAGGTTAACAATACATGAAACAGTAGTTTTCAGACCTGGCTCTGGCTTCCTAATTGGCCTTGCGCAAAGTCACTTTACCTCTTTGCATCTGTTTTCTAATTGGCAAAATCAGAATAATTACAGTATCCTCAGAGAGTTTTGGGGAGAAGATAATAATGAGAGGTACTGAGGTACACTATTAGCTCCCTTTTAGAATAATAATTATTATAGATTTCTAAGACTCCTTCCTTTCTTCCTTGGATTAAACCCAGGGGCACTTAATATTCCCAGCCCTTTTTTACATTTTATTTAATAGAGGCAGGGTCTCACTGAGTTGCTTAGGCCCTTGCTAATTTGCTGAGGCTGGCTTTGAACTCACAATCCTATTGCTTCAACTTCCTGAGCTTCTGGGATTATAGGTGTGCACCACCTCGCCTGGCAAGACCCACATATTTTTACTCTATAAATCTTTCATTTCAAGAAAACAAAGTGCTAACCCTAACCAGTTTCAACACAGGAATAGATAGGGTTCTGACCACAATCAAACAACTATTGGGAATATATAAATTCAAAATATGCTTTTAAAAAAACTCAAGACTCAGTCCTATGCTATCCTATGTATTACTATTATATTTACTGTAAATGCTACCTATTAAAATTCACTTTATAAATAACTTAGAAGCATATTCTTAAAAATAATAAAGTGCTCTTTAATAAAAGGCTATTAAATAGAGGTTGAAAAGAAAGGTCATGGAAGAGTAAAATGAGTACAACAAGCTGGCTCAACCTCACCCTACTTAAACTACTTTTTTTGTGGTGCTGGGGATCGAACCCAGGGTTTTGTGCATTGGAGGCAAGCACTCTACCAACTGAGCTATATCCTCAGCCCTCAACTACTTTTATTTTAAATAAAATTGGTGAGAAAGTGTGAAGGAGCTAAAGTATTTTTAGCTAATTTACTCTCCTCAAGGATATCTCCATGCTCTTCTTTCATAGATATTATCAGTCTTTTTGAGTCTAATTCAGCACACAGCCAAGACGGTCAGAGCAAAACAGAGGAGTCTGACCACTTGAGGCAGCAGAGAAGCAAATGGTAGCTGGGGCAAACCAGGAGCTTGGACTGCGGTGATGTCTGCTGGGGCAGTGAGGGGGAGTGACAGAGACCCATGGGTGTGTTCCCAGTCCGGCTGAGCCATATTCTGGAGCTGATGTCACCACAGCTATTGTGAAGGGAAATTCTATAGCTACAAACTCCTCAGAAGGAAGGATTAGGTTTTTCCTAAGCTGCTGTCACTGGAGAAACTCAAATGTTCTCCACCCAGGTTTTTTCCTTTGCCACAAGAACATGTTTTCTATGAAAGCAGGATTAAACCCAGGGGCACTTAACATTCCCAGCCCCTTTTTACACTTTATTTAATAGAGGAAAGGT